TAGAAATTGATGAACTTTCGAGACAGGGCGTGGGTGTCAAAAAGCCCAAGGAGGAGATAAGCACAACCATTACCAGTACGGGGATCACGCGTAGCAAACCGGCCGGCTGGATAAGATCCGCGGTTGTAACTACTGCCGAAGATCACGAACGCCATCGCCATCCATCCATCCTCCCGCTGCTTATATAACGAGGCACAAGGCCATTCGCAGGGCGGGGAGACGCGCCCACAGGGGCCGTGTCGAGGAGATGGACGGAGGGAGCCTGCGGAAGAGGCCCTAGCACTTCACACGCACGTACGTGAGGCAGCAGTGGATGACGCCCTGGGCGTAGGGCGGCAACCCATGGACATGCGCCGTGCAACCGGCCGCGGATGACGCGTCGACGCTGGCATAGCGCCCAGGCCGAGGAGGAGGCTGCGGCATGGCATACGCGCCGGCCGCCGACGAACAGGAAGCCCCAATGCTATCTTCATGGTGTTGATGAGACTCTCTGTGGCAGCAACGTCAAGTCTTTTGCATCAAGGCCGAATTGATGCATGAACCATGCACGTTGATTCATCTCTCTCTTTTCTTCTTCTGTCTTTTTGATTATCCAGATTGGAGACGCAAAGTTTGTCGGCCGAACGTACAGCATGCATCCAGGGAGGAGCGAGAGGAGACGCGTCCATCTGGAGAGGCAGCGACTACACGCGCCGTCGGAGGCCGCGACGACGACGAACGCGAGCCCGATCGAAGCCTTCTTCTATAAAAGCAGCCACATGCTACATCAACCATCAACACAACAAGCATCCTTCTTTGCCAATGGCGTGCCTATATAATTAATCTTCTCACTATTTTCTTCTCTCATTTCATCTCTCTTCAGCCCCAGGCGACAGCGTCGACGAGATGGACGGAGGAGTGGGCGCGCCCGCTGGAAGGGAGAGGACCAAGAACAGATGCGCCTGGCGGCAGCATCGGCAAGATCGGGAAGGACGCAGCCAGCCGAGATACACGCGCCCACGGTGGCGGCACGTACGACCGGCGGCTCGCTCGCTCGCGGCGGTGCGAGTACGCATGCGGGAAGACTGGCGAGAGGACGTGGCGGCGCGAGGCAATGACACCCGTCGGGGCTTGACGACGTCGGCGGCATCACACACGAGGCTGTTTGTGTGTCAAATCAAGCCGAGCCAGCTCTTCGGAGGACGGGTCGTACGTGCATCTCCGCCGCCGACCATGGCGGGTGCTCCCGCAATCGTCTCCGCCGCCGATTCTTACGGCCGCGATTGGGCGGGGCTGCCGGAGGAAATATTCCTGATGTTCATGCGGGAGCTGGAGATCCCCGGCCTCGTCCGCTCAGGTGCTGTCTGCACCTCGTGGCATGCTGCTTACCTAGCTGTCCGCCGACATCGCTTCCCCCTTCCGATCCCCCGGAATCAGCTCCCCTGCCTGGTCTACGCATGCCGCAATTCCGCCACAGACGGCGCCGTCGTCTGCTGCCCCTTCACCGGCGACTCCGTCCGAGTCCCCCTGCCGCAGCCCCCGCTCACCCGCCACTCCACGGTCGGCTCCGCGCACGGCTGGCTCGTCACCGCCGACGAGGCCTCCAACCTCCACCTCCTCAATCCTATCACGGGCGCCCACGTCGCGCTCCCGCCCATCGCCACTCTCCACCACGTCGAGAGCTGCACCGACGCCCAAGGCCGCCTCATGTACAACGTCTTCGACAGGGGCGATCCCGAGCCGACCCCCTTTGACGCGCGCGAGGCCAGGGACTGCATGTACCACCGTGTCACCCTCTCCTACAGCCCGGCGGCTGGGAGCGCCTGCATCGTGCTGCTGGTGCACATGCCGATCGGCGAGCTCTCCTAGGCCCGGCTCGGCGACGAGCGGTGGACCTGGATCTCGCCCGACGACCACCAGCTCATGGCCATCAGCTGGGGCTTCATGGACTCTTTCTACAATGAGGATGATGGTTTGTTCTATGTGCTTCGCAGCCACAGATCGGTTTTCACTCTCAATTTCAATGGGCCATCTCTTGTTGTCAAAAAGATCATGCGCAGAGTTAGGAAGGGGGATGATCCTTCTAGCATGTACATCATGCAAGCTCCATGGGGTGATATTTTGCAAATATGGAGGTGGAGGAGCTACGTCAATTCATCAACACCCGTGGAGCTTCCTAGAGATCTGCTGGGTCACAACGAAGATGACATAGACCGGTATATTGAGCTCAGAACAACTGAAATAGAGGTCTATAAGGTGGACCTTGAGAACCAGGCACTTGTGAAGATGACAAGCTTAGCGGATCATGCACTATTCCTTGGTTATAATAGCTCCATGTGATTTGCCACTAAAGATTTTCCAACACTGAAGCCGAACTGTGTCTATATCACGGATGACTCTGTTGAGTATGTCAACATGTGTAAGCATAACTGGCGAGAAATCGGAGTTTGGGATATAGAAAACAAGAGTCTGCAGACTTTTGATAGTGTTTTGCTTACTAATTCCTGGATGAATTGGCCTTCTCCGGTTTGGATAACACCCTCCCTTTTCTAGTAAGTGACTTTTTATTTAGTGATGCCATTGTAGACATTGCAGACTTGTTTTGGCTTTCATTATTGTCAAATTTTTCGTTGTATTACAGCTTAACAATTTGAGTTTTGTCCCACAACTATATCAATTCTCTCTATATATATATTAAGTTATGAACTTTTCCCTATGTATCACTGGATAATTTTTGGCTTGATTATTGTCATATTTTTGTTGTATTATAGATTAGTAATTTGATTTTCCCCCCACAATTAAATCAATTTTCTCTATATATTAGTTCCTATGTATTAGTGGATAACAATTTTGGGTTCTGTTAACACCATTCCACTAATTTCTTGTTAGAGCCATGTTGTTTATGTAAAGACCAGTCTAATTCGCTTTTGGGACCAGAGTGAATGACAATAACTTTCTATTCGTGTTTGGCACCAAAGTGAAGGACAGTAATGACAACTTTTCATGTGATTTAACAGAACTCCACTAACATTAGGTTTTTACACACCAGTATTAAGAGCTCAAAACTTGTACTCCCTCCGTTCCGAATTATTTGTCTTGGATTTGACTAGATACGGAGGTATCTAACACTAAAATGAGTCTAGATACATCCGTATCTAGACAAATCCAAGACAAGTAATTCGGAATGGAGGGAGTAGGAAATAACCCGTTTTTCAACTGAAATATTCTTACTATTTGAACTAGTCATCAACCAGTACAGATGGATGTGCTAAAATTTTCAGTAATACATTAACTGTAAAGGAGGTTTACTTTAACACAAGGACATGCTTTTAAAAATTATTACATCTAAAAACTATTACCGCCACTTCCTATTATGTCCAAGTTCCGGTCCTTCCCGATTTCTTCGCACCAAGTAAATCGATCTGTTATACACTTTGGTCCTCAGCAGTAAATGGAGTTTCTTCCTTGCCACAAATGGTGTGGTTTGCAATCCAAAAAATGAACCAAAAATCCACCTGAATAGCTTATTATGGAAGAATACAGATCTTGGTATTTTCATTAAAGTAATACCAAAATGGCAGCAAAGGTCAGCATCATGGTGTCGAAAGTTTTTCTTTATAAAGGATACGTACAACAGAAGAATCCAGAGGAGATGACACCCAGCATGCTCCTCTTTCTGAAGCAAACTTCTTGTCTATGTACACAATGGTAGCATGGAATGGGCACTGGTAGTGCAATGATTCCAAGGCCTTCTACTGAGCCAGATATTTATGCAGTATGTACAAACCAAAGTATATAATACACGCTAAGTTGGTGGGGCTAGAATTGCATAACTGATCACTACATATAATTGCATAGAAAGTCCATCACAATAGATGTGAAAGCGATACAGAGACTAACATTATTTGTTATTACTGCTGGGGAGTGGGGATAGTACTCATCTTTCTCCGCTGGATGCACCATCCGAGTAAAAATAGACACCATTACATTTTCTCTACACATTATGCAATGGAACAGGGGTAATAGAAGGAAGGGTCCCATCAAAACCTTATTAAATTATTGAGTCTAGCATGTTTCTCTCTGTTTTAACACACCATGGAACACATGAATCAATTTATCTTGGGAGAAGGGAGCACTCCTGCAAGGCATAGTATGTATGTATATAAAGAAAACATAGTAAAATTCCAATTGAAGTAGCACCCAGACCTTTTTAGTATTTTACATTTAGGGCCAAGCTAGCATGAATATGGTACAGCTAATATTTGGAATCACATCAACGCAATAAGCTACATAAATAAACATGGATATTTATATCTTTATTGATTAACCTCAAAAATCTGTATGGCATTCAGTGTTTACTAAATAGAACAAAATCTTAAAATGATTTGTACAGTTAGTGATTATCCTCTGTAGAAGTTCTGCAAAATTGTTGTAAAAGGCAATCTCACTAAATATAGCAGTATCTTCTGTGTATAAACCTCATGCTCTTAACGGCTTGAACTTTTGCATGATAAAGCACAAATGCTCCAGAAAGATTCACCAATTAGATCTCACTGATCATTTAGAACCATATATCTAGTCTCTCACTTTGCTTGAGTCATGTGGAACACCATGGCTCTCTCTGTTCTCAAACATTAGATCATCGTAATGAAGCAATGGTAACATGCCTGAAACAAAAGATGATGGCCTAGGAACAATCAAATAAGGTTCCCCACACAGTTTAACATCCATACCTATTATACTGAACTTCCTTGATCATTGTGGAAAGCGGTGACCAATGATCTCAAGTACCAATTAATTAATCATATGAATCAATGATCACACACCTGAAACAAAAGGCAAAAATTAGATATTAGCTTGTAATCCGTGAGCGCTCCCATTGGCAGAAAACATGAAGTGCTCCACCTCAAAGCTGACCTTTCATTTCATTTCAGGTACTCAACTAGCAGAGAAAGGCGCACAAAATTCTAATTACAAATGGATTTTTTCAGCTCAATTAAACAACAATCTGGAGCTGAAGTATGTATGCATTGGACCCTAAAGACTTGAAGCCATTGAATAGCTGTTGCGATGCTCGGATTTCAGTTTTTGGTTCTAAGCTTCATAAGAAGATGCGAGACTCTAATATTTTTGTTGTGGGATCCGGTGCTCTTGGATGTGAATTCTTGAAGAACTTTGCTTTAATGGGGCTTTCTTGTGGCCGTAAAGGGAAGCTAACTATAACAGATGATTATGTCATTGAAAAAAGCAACTTGAGCCGGCAATTCCTGTTTCGTGATTGGAACATTGGACAGGCAAAATCTACAGTATCCGCTACAGCTGCTAGTGCTATCAACTCCAGCCTCCATATTGATGCTTTGCAGAATCGTGCCTGTCCAGAGACTGAACTTGTTCTCAATGATGCATTCTTGGAGGGCCTTGATGCTGTGATCAATGCACTTGATAATGTCAATGCTAGGATCTACGTGTACATGGGATGCCTGTACTTCCAGAAACCATTCTTGGAATCTGGAACGCGGGGTCCCAAATGTAATACACAGATGGTGATTCCTCACCTTACTGAAAACTATGGAGCTTCACGAGATCCTCCTGAGAAACAGGCACCAATGTGCACAGTTCATTATTTTCCGCACAATATTGACCATTGTCTAACATGGGCTCGCTCAAAATTTGAGGGTCTGCTAGAGAAAACTCCAAATGAAGTGAACTCATTTATATCTAATCCTGCTGAATATGCTGCTGCTATGAGAAAGGCAGGTGATGCTCAAGCCAGGTAATTGTTGGAGCGTGTACGTGAATGCCTGACTGAAGTACTACATTCCCCTTTGAATTCAACAATTTGTTATTGGCTTTCTTCCTCTTTCTTTTCATCTTAGCTATTTGAAGTTAAAATGGTTTCACTTTGATTATATATTGCCAACAAATAGGACGGTATCTTTTGTGCTCCAGATGCCATGTAATAACATTTGTTTTCTTTTGCTACGTTTGAAGATTACTTCTCTAATCATGTGAAGCAGCTAACATTCGCATTTCCTGAGGATGCTGCTACTAGCACTGGTGCTTCTTACTGGTCTGCCCCTAAGCGTTTCCCTCACCCGGTGCAATTCTCAGCTGTTGATTCATCTCACATTCAATTTATACTGGCTTCTTCCATATTGAGAGCGGTGTCTTTTGGGATCCCCATACCGGACTGGGTGAATAACATAGCGGACTGGGTGTCTTTTGGGATCCCCGTACCGGACTGGCCGATATAGTAAGTAAGGTTGCAGTGCCTGAATTTGAGCCAAAGAGTGGGGTTAAGATTGAAACAGATGAGAAGGCTACTAACCTCTCCAGTGCCTCAGTTGACGATACTGCTGTTATCTAAGACCTTTTAACCAAGCTGGAAGCATGTGCCAAGAAACTACCTTCAGGATTCCAAATGAAGCCTCTTTTTAACTGCTTTTGATGTGTTAGAGTATTCAAGAGGTTGACAAGCTGAAGGCGAAGTTCATTGCAGGAAGAATCATTCTAGCTATTGCAACTACGACGGCCTTGACTATTGTATTTTTTTAGTTTGAAAAATGTTCTGTAAAAAAAGATGAAATGGTCACAGGCTTTGTGTGCCTTGAGCTTTAAAAGGTTCTGGCACACAGTTGAAGACTACCGCAATACGTTTCACAGGAAGCATTTTGATGTTGTGGCTTGCGAGGATGACAACGGGTACGACATTTATATATCTCTTATCTCCATTTACTTCCAATAGGCAGGCGCCGTCACTCTATTGTGAGGATAGATGATGAGTGTGCAAAGAATTCCTGTGGAGAGCTGTTTGAAGCACGCCTGGTGATCGCTTATGGTGTTAGCGCCCATCTCCATCGCGTTTTCTGTGGGTCCTTCCGCTCTGTTGTTGAATGCCAACTATTTGCAGGTGTGTGATGTTGTCTGATGTTTTGATGAATGAACCATAGCATGTTATCCACTGGGTAGCATTGGATTGATATTTTTGGGGTTGCTGGATGATGTGTTCATTGAGTCATTGCAATTGTCGTTTACCTAGTACCTCACTACAACCATCACATTATTCTTCCTCGCAACTCTTTATCCCTGGAGTTGATCTATGAACATATTGTTGTTGTGGTTAAGCAAAACTGTATCTAGCAGTTTTGCATTTGTTTTTCAACTTGGCTGATCCCCTTTTCATTGCTTTGACATAACAGAAATACAAGAGCTAGCCAGTTCCAAGCGAGGTTCAGGAAGCAGGAAAGGGGAAAGAGCTGAGTTCAGCGCACCGCTGGGAGGCCTACTACATGTGCTAATCGAAACACATGCTATGGAGCGAAAACTTAAAGGCGACAAATGCTCCCGTTGGCCGGCACCACCCCTCGGGAGGCGGTAGACCCAGGCGGCGGGGAGGTGCGGCGGTGTTGGTGGTGGCTGGATCCGTACGGAATCGGTTGGATTCAGTGCGGCAGCGACGGCGACAGGATTTGGCAGCAGGGGGCTGTGGTAAGGAGGCGGTTGGGCGGCGAGGGGTGGATTGGCGTTTTTGGGCAGCAACCTTCCAATATATGCATCCGCTTGTGCCCTGTTTTTGGGCTACCCAAAAACGTTTTTGACCATGTTGAAGTTTTTGGGCAGCTATTGGAGAGGTTTTTTGGCCTCCAAAAGCCGCAAAAGGCAGTGTTGCCCTATTGTTGGAGACGCTCTTATGAGCATGGTTACTATATCCAGTTTTGCATGGCATGCACAATTTTAGATTGTCAATTTGACTACTGAAACATGTCTTACACGCCATTAAAAATATATCCTTAGACTCGCTGCCGAATAAAGTTTTAAAGTATTTTGTTTTTGTTTTTATAGGATCATTCGACATGAAGGTAAATGTGTAGATCAGCATTGCATCGTATGCACTTTTTTTCCTACGCAGAAAGGTACACCGAAACATTAGTTACAAAAACGGTGATCCATACAATGGTCTAGAGGGAGAAATTCATAAAGAAATGAAATGTATACACACGAAAATCCATATAAAACGGCAAAAACACACCGTTTCATAAATAAATCCCCAAAAAAGAC